TTTACCATAAATAATTAAAAATGCATCGAACCTTAAAAATCGAAATATCTCAAAAACGGCTAACTATAACAGAAAATTCACAAGAGAGCTTTTTTATGTTAAAAAGTGCGAAGAATCAGCTTCTTTATTCAAAAAGCAAAAATTTGCACTAAGAAAAAATTTTCGGTCATTTTAATACACTGCAGGTACAGTAGAGAGCGCCTTCTAGCGGCTACATTAAAACTATGGCCATGGTTCGTTTTGTCGTACCAAAAAACCCTTTTATACCAATTTTCACTGTTATACATCAAATATTGTTCGAATTATTAAAAAAAAAACTATTTTAGAAAGTAAATTTAAACACCCTGTATTTCGGAAGCCACGCATTTTTGGACCCATGTTTATATAGACTTTATGCATTAATTTTAAAAGTTCTATCGAATTCTCTCCTTCAAAAATTTCTAGATTGCACCTGTTCTGTGTCTGTTCCTCAAATTGTAGGAAATCTCAGGTTGATAAAACGTGATATAACTCAAAAGCATGCACAATCTGATGCAAATAGATATTCGTGACATAACCTGAAAATAGAGCGCTGACACGGAAAAGTAGAAAACTATGACAATCAAGGAGGCCATAAAGGCGTCCTAAAATTGTATGAACGACTGACGATACGGGCCTTAACAAACTATTGTTAATTTGCATGTATCCGACAAAGATAGACGTTGTTAGGTTATGTTAAAGCAGGTTAGGTTGTTTTCGAATAATACTTTGGTCTTTGGTGTTCCTGTCTTAAGGTATTCTACTCATAACTGTTTTTTTCAAATCAAAAACTCCCCACTAAAATTATTATCGAGGTATCGCTCAAAACCATGAAATAAAATAAAACTAAAAATAATCGGTGAAATAACCCAAATAAAAAATCATAATATAAATTTGTTGTCATTATGTTCCTGACATCGTGATTTTATCATCGACGTACGTCCATTATTTACTTCAGTACAATTTATGATATGACATAATAGTCATTTTGACTATAACTCATCATTTTGCAGAAAAGGTTTCTTGTTTTATCTATCATCGATATCCTTTTGGCAAATACGGGCTTGTTTCATCTTCTTTCTGGCATGATAAAAAAATTGGTTCATAGAACACACTGAAATATTATAGGACTCTTTAAGTCAAATTTTCCATTTTCATCTGCTGTTGCTGCAAGCAAATAAAAATTTGCACACATGCATTTCCAGCGCTGAGTTTGTGTATGACCATCAAAAAATCGTAATTGTCTAATTTGTCCTGTGGCGGAAAGCCGACATCGGATTCAGAATTTACGTACACCATTTATACAGAAAACACGTCTTTGCCCACATCACAGACAAGCAGTATTTCCTTGTTTTACTTCCTACACCAAAACTGGCATGCCATCACAAGTTCAAACGGGTGGATAGGCCGTTTGGTTTGCCAGTGCTGACTAGTTTGAGTGTCGCTTTTACTTCCCACGCCTACTGGCGGGGATGTTATATGACATGTACATCACAAAAACCGTGTCTCTCATTTCCGTCTATCTGCCAGTCTGTCGGTTTGTCTGCTAATTCTGTAACCGCCTATAAAGTGGGGGAATATGGCAACATACATTTCAAAAGCTCACATTCAAACAAGCAACCAACCAACCACAATGAGAAGGCGGCATCTTAGGCCCGTATCGTTAGTCGTCCATACAATTGTAGGGCGCGTTTATGGCCTCCTTGATTGTCTTACTCCTTTCTCTCCTTCAAAAATTTCTAGATTACACTTGTCCCGTGTCAGCGTCAGCGCTCTCCTATTGTGAAGATATGTTTCCTTATGAAATTGTAGGAAATTTCAGGCTGATAAAACATCATATAACTCAAAAGCAAGCACAATTTGATGCAAATAGATGTTTGTGGCATAACCTCAAAATAGAGCGCTGACACGGAGAAGTAGAAAACTATGACAATCAAGGAGGCCATAAAGGCGCCCTACAATTGTAGGGACGGCTGACGATACGGGCCTTAGAGCGTGTGTATTTGAGTATGTGACGTGCAATGCTCGTTGACATAATCCCAGACTTAAGAATGGTTAGAAGCAAAAATGTCGAATGATACGCTATGGCCATACCTATTATCCGTACCTTTGGGGAATATGGCAACATGCTCTTCTCGTAAATATTGACTAACTCTTTTTAGGTTAGAAAAAATATGTAATCCTTACAACATAACAAGTAGTATTAAGTAACACAACGAGGCTAATAAATCTCATATCTCCAGAGCTCTGGAGGTACTTGCTAGCTGATTTAGTGGGACACAATCGTTACAATATGATGGAGTACGAGTACATATCCCGAGAATCTAATTATAACATTTTAGACATTGCAACCAATCACATTTGGGACTTTTTTTCTCAAAATAGTATCCACCGCATTAGGCACAAAATTCTGATTCATCATGTTTCAATTCGTATTAACCCACATTGTACTTTATTACGGCAAATTAAGGCAACACTTATTTTAGATGCATTTAACGGATTGTTCCGCCAAAAAAAGTTAGGCTAGGAATCGTATGTCGGCATACTCTTATTAAAATTGGATTAAAAACACTTACAACTTCTTTTATCACTGAGTATAACTGGACTTGAGGATATTTTTTAAACGGTCCTTACCTTTATACTTACAATATTCACTAAAAAACTAATTAATTTGATTTCTGAGGTATTCACAGAAGATTGGTACATTGGAAGAACGTGTTAAAATTGACACTGTCGGCGTGTCGCCAAATATAGGCTTAAAACTAAGTTAACAAGCTGTGGAGTATTACCCAGCGAGCCATATTCCCCCACTTTACTTTAACTTGAGAAGTACCGCTCAGATCTTGATGAAATTTTCACAAAAAGATCTATGCCAAGCTTGAAAAAGTTTTTGACAATAGGTCTAGTGGTGGCGGAGCTAGGAACAAAAACACAAAAAAATAAAAATTTCTTGAACTCCTTTTTTTTTGTAGGGGTTGAAACTTGGAGATTGTAGTGGGTGGGGGATTGTAAACGTAACGTCTTTAGTATTAGTGAAAGACGTTCTATTATTACGAAGCATCTGAAACTGGTAATAGCGAGAAAATTAAATGATAAAAGTCCGACGTATAATTCGAAATAACTTTGCAATTGTTGGTGTTGCGTGCACGGCGCGATGCTACATCGTCGTGGCGGTCACTGCCGACTGTGCAATGGGTAACAAACTAAAACTGGTCTGCGGCGGTGTCGTCACTGACATACCGCTGCAGGAGAAATATTTATATATTTCAGCCATATTTGGATATTAGGAGTACGTATCACCTTAGCGTCAAGTAGATTTACTCAGTAGGTACTTATTATGCATTTATATACAACAGACATTCACTGTCAAATCGACATAAATGAGAAACACGGAGTTGTGTGATGCAGATATCTCTAAGCAACAGAAAAATTGTGAACCGAATATTATCGAGAGTTTGATACTTCCATCGTTGAGGTAGTCGCAGATTATGAAAATTGATTCAGAGGCGACGAAAATAAAATCGCTGGAACATAGTGTCATAACGTTTCAGGGATTCTAGCTCATTTTCAGACATTGCTTGAAGGGAATGAAAACTAGGTTGGAAGCTGTATGAGGTAAATTGTTGCATATTTGGTGTCAGTGAAATCCTTTCTATTATTAAGAAGCTGCTAATCTCGATGATACTATGCACATGTTAGACATATTAAGTCACAAATACTTTCCGTATATCTGCAATGTAAACAGAAATATGATAGACTTGCTTGATATAGTTAGATATGCAGAGATCGAGGAGTCATCGTGCCTAATCACGATCCGTTTCCGCCTTTTGACGGTGCAACACGTATGTTAGAAAAAGTGCGCACCATAGAGCGGCTGTAACTCCTCCCCCATTATCGTTGCCAGGCAACGTGGCGACGACGCTTATATGGCCCACTCTTTCTAACATACGTGTAGCATGGTACCGCAAGTTTTCCTCACTCATACGAGGGCGGTTCAGTAAGTACCCGTGTTAGAAATGAAGACACCATTTTTGCCAAAAAAAATATTTTTACTTTTCAACATAATCTCCTTTTAGAAAGATACATTTTTCTCAAAGTTCCTGCCATTTCATTTAACCCCCCCCCCAAAAAATAGGATTTGTCAAACTCCTCAGTCTCGGCGATGACTTTCTCGTTTGAGCTAAATTTTTCCCCGCGAGCCATTTCTTCATGTCAGGGAACAAGAAAAAGTCACAAGGGGGCAGATCGGGTGCATACGGGGGGGTGCGGCAGCACTTCATAACGCAATTAATGCAGTTTGCCGGCGACAACTCCGGATGAATGTGCTGGTGCGTTATCGTGGTGAAACATCACCTTCTTTTTCATCAAATGTGGCCGTGTCTCCTTCAATTTCTCGTCGAAGCGATCCAATAACTCACTATATATTGTCCAGTGATCGTTTTTCCTGTTTCTAAAAAATGATGACGCCGTTCGCATCCCAAAAAATCATCGCCATGACCTTTCCGCCCGATGGACTTTTTGAATGATTTCCTCGGTAACCACGTCTGGGCGTCCTGGTCGATTCTCATCAAAAACAGATGTTCGCCCACGTTTAAATTAGTTGAACCAATATCTAACTGTGGTCATAGATGGCGAAGTGCCCCCATAAACAACATCCAACTTTGCTTTTATCTCCTCGCATTTTTTCCCATCCAAAAACAAAAAGCGAATTACCGAACGCTACTGCTCTTTTTCCATCTTAGCGAAAATCACGAAACACGAGTTACTTGAATGGCTGCCAAATCCAAACTTACCTATCAATCCGTCTAAAATTTTTTGTGCCGTCGTTTGATAGATGACAGCACACGATGATAACATTAACTTCCCTCAGGAACGCCCTCTGTCGTCAAACGCGGGTACTTATTGAACCGCCCTCGTACACATTCAAAGCCAAGACCGAAAAAGTAAATGAATTTCACTGTAGATATAATATTTGTTTGTAGGGTACAAGAATCCTGTACTGCTACTCCATCCTTTGGGAGGTTGGACAAAAGATGACGATGTGCCTCTACCAGTCAGGATCAAACAACACCAAGCGGTCCTGGAGGAGGGTGTTTTAGATAAGGATAGTACCGTTTTGGCTGTTTTCCCTAGTCCAATGCTATACGCAGGCCCTACCGAGGTAAGACTGACAATAATGAGTATGAAGCTTGAACTTGATGCTTTTATAAATAAAAGCGAATTTACTTATTTTTATTTTTACGAAAACAGTGCACTCTAGGAACAAACGCAATAGTAATTATTTGTACCAAATTGAAGGTAAAATTCGAAAAATTGCGCGTCTCGAAAAAAAAAAACAGTAGCGCGTACTATTTTTATTTGGAAAAATAATCCCACTAATCGTACGTATGTCCGCCACTGGTGCACGTTAATTCTAAGTAAAGACTTTTGAATGTGGACAATACTAGATAAATCCACATACCAAATTTTAGTTCATTCCAGTTGACTGTTTAAAGATATTAAGAAACAATGTTTTTCTATTTTTAAACTTCATATCTTTTTAATGAAGCCTCCAAAGAGAAAATATTACATAGAAGACGCCCTTAAAATGCGGTCCTGTGTATGATGTTTCATTTTTAGACTTGTGAGTCACCCTGTAAACACCACTGATCAAGTTTAAACACTGCGAACTATACAGGGTGCGCCATCTTTTATGTCGGTATGTACACATGAAATAACTTAGAAAACGAAAAACTGATTTCTATATAGGTATCGGGTATTTTTATTAAATATGGTCCTTTACAATTTATTGGGACTAGTTTTTGAACACAACATCTATCAAGTGGCCACCTTTATTGACCAAAACAAAATGTGCCCGTTTTGCTGCGTTTTCTATTACTTTTTCGAGCATCTCTGGTGGTATAGCAGCGATTGGTGTACGAATGTTTGCCTTGAGTTCTTCAGTAGTCTGGGGCTTGCTGGCGTACACTTGACTTTTCAAATATCCCCACAAGAAAAAGTCCGGTGGGGTCAAATCTGGAGACCTGGGTGGCCAGTCAATCTCACCTCTTTTTGACATCAGGGAATTTTCGTTGCAGAAACTGGATTGTTTTATTTGCAGTGTGGCATGGCGCACCGTCTTGTTGAAGCCAGTAACCATCAAGACATTTTTCACGCATTTGTGGGCAGACATAATGAGCCAACATCCACCGATATCGATTTTCATCGACTGTTTCGTTTTCGTTGAAGAAAAATGGCCCAATGATGGTTTTGGCGCAAACGCCGGCCCAAACAGTCACTTTCCGGTCATGCAACGGCATTTTGTAGTGAATTGGCGTTTCAGAAACACGTATAACCAAATCACTCGGTTGGTAAATATCAAAGTCATTCGATGTTTCAATACCGACATAAAAGATGGCGCGCAAATCAATGCTGAAAGTTAAAACATTTCTGATGATAGTTTGTAACACCCTGTATATTGTATCTCAGGTCCAGTGGCACGCAAAAGCCCGCATGGTAGCCGGCGCAGACTATTACATAGTAGGCCGTGACCCAGCGGGGATGGCTCATCCCCTAGGGACATCAGCAACCCCTGATGGTAACCTGTACGATGCGACACATGGCGGCAGAGTTCTCTCTATAGCGCCTGGCATGTCTAGAGTGCACATATTGCCGTTTAGGGTGGCAGCCTATGATCTCAAACAAAGGAAAATGGACTTTTTCAGGCCAGAGAACAAAGAGGACTTCGATTTCATATCGGGAACGAGGATGCGAAGTGAGTATGACGTGATATTTAGTTGATTTGTATTTGCTATTAGGTACAGTCAGTTTAACGTTACACAGGGTGTCCCGATATTCCGGGGACATAGGAGTACCACGTATTTTAAAATCAAAATAAGTTTGTCCGCTAGAGTGCGATAAAGTTTTTTGTTTAAAACTCTTTTTCCAGTTTTTTTTAACCGATAGTCCTATTTGGATGAAGTTTGAAACAAATTGTTTTGGTAGACGTCCCAATATTTAACTCTTAAAAAAAATGAAACAGTTCGAGAAGGGCGAAAATTCCCCCACACATACATAAAATATGGCAGAACCTTTTCGCAACTTTCTAAACGACTCTGAATTTTTGTTTTTATAAGTCCCTTTACTTACTTCATTTTTTGTCTCTTATAAAAACATCTAGAATAGTTTTCGAGAAAAAAATATATTGTTATGTGCAGGAACGAAAATGGTTGTCATATTGAACATCTTTTAAGAAAAATTCGCATTATTGGCTGCATTAAATAAACTTGTGATAAGTAATTTCAAACAAATTTAATAATTAATAAGACAGTTGGGAACCTCTTGCAGCAACTTTTTTTTTTCTTGAGAACTATTCGAGATGGCCTGTTTTTATAGGAGGCATAAAGAGATCTAAAAAAAGTCAGAGTCGTCCGGAAAGTTGCTAAAAGATTATATTATATTATAATCATGTAGTGGTGGTGGTATTTTTCACCATTCACGAACCTTTTAGAGTTTTTCGTAAAAGTTAAATATTAGAACATGTAACAAAACGTATATATCCAAATTTCATTCATATCGGACTATCGGTTCTTAAAATATTTAAAAAAAATTATCAAGGGATACTCAATAAAAATTTTGTATGGAATGATCGAAGTTACGTACAATTCCGAAATCTTAGTGGTAAGAATACACTTTAAAATATGAAGTGTTACTTCAAATTTTATTTCCGTCCCGTTAAAACAAATACCAGCGCGCGACGTTCAAATGCGCGGCCCATAAGTGCCTGTGCAGGCAGCGACATGCGAACAAAAGCAGCGATCGAATGCTGGTATTGTTTTTGACGAGAAGTAAATAAGGTTTGAATCGATTTTTATTTTTATACCAATTCCTTCTACTAAAAAACAACTTCTTTTAGAATTCGCTAGAAATGGAGAAGATCCACCGGAAGGATTCATGGCACCAAAGGCATGGCAAGTTATACAGGACTACTATCGAAGCTTAGAATCCAAATCATGATCATCCATTAAAGGAATAGTGCTTACAGATGTATATTGTATATATGTATTTTAATGAATTTTCTATATTTTGAAATTGTCCCAATAACTCATACTCGTAGATCTTTGTGTGATTACCAAGTTTAAATAAACACGTTTTCTCGAATAACTAAAATTATCTGGGTTGCTTTTTTAGAAAATAATTTTTGCTTATATTAGGAGTATCTTTACTTTTAACGTTAGCGCAGGTACTTTTTGAGATAGCTAATCATCCATAATGTTTTTACTTCCGATGCCTACTAGCGGGGAAATATGGTAATTGCGGAGTTTTTCGAAAATGACAAGTTTTTTGGATGTTATATGACATGCGAATCAGGAAAAACTATGTCGCTCATTTCAGTCAGTCTGCCCGCTAATCTTATAACCACCTATAAATTGAGGAAGTACCGTCTGCATCTCGATAAAACACAATGTTACTACTATGGCAAGAATGCAAAAGCTCTGTAGTTTTTGAAAATCGGATGAGTGGAGACGGAGAAAAAGGCCAAAAAGTAAAAAAATATATTGCTCAAATTTCGTTTTTTGACATTTCAGATGATTCTGATCATTTTCTGAATTTTCTTTGTAAGGGTCGCAAATTGCGGTTAAGGGTTGCAGGGTGTGGTGGATAAATATATATATATATATATATATATATATATATAAAGAGTAAATTATCATGCGGAGAAAGGTATATAAAAAAATAGGAAAATAATGGGCAAAATCCGCAAAAAGTGGATTTGAGCAGAATAGGATAGGTAACCCGAGCGATACGTATTTCTGCTGGTTGGCTTCATCAGGCCCGAAATGAATGCACATATGCAACTACAAAAGTAGAGACACATGCCCATACATCCGGATACGGGTGTAACCTGAGGAAACAAAGATGGACAGGAAAAAAAAAACTTGTGTCTTTTTTTTTCCTTTTTGCGGATTTTGCCCATTATTTTCCCATTTTTTGTTATATACATTTCTCCGCATGATTATTTTCTCTTTGTAGATCCTTTGGGCTTGAAGTACCACAGCAAGTGGCTATAACCGACCGCGTGGTTGTGGTAGATGTCGCCTTGAAAATTGGAGGTCTTCTAGCCATTTTATACTACAATGTGTAGGTTGGCTCTTCTTGTGGACTTCGTGTGTGATTTTTTTCCTCTCCATCTTTGTTTCCTCAGGTTACACCCGTATCCGGATGTATGAGCATGTGTATCTACTTTTGCAGTTGCATATGTGCATTCATTTCGGGCCTGATGAAGCCAACCAGCTGAAATACATATCGCTCGGGTTACCTATCCTATTTTCTGCACGAATCCACTTTCCTTCTTTTTGCGGATTTTGCCCATTATTTTCCTATTTTTTGTTATATATATATATATATGTATAAAATTCTACGCACATATTAGCTATATTTCATTCATCATAGATGTCCCCGCGCATTGACCCTTAAAACTTAGAAATATCTCTTATAGACGGAAGTCGATACGTGGTACGTCGCCCTCCGATGGACAAGCGTCGTCGTCGGTGGTCGCAAGTCACAGTCGACAATCGCTTCCGCACTTCTGTGGTATCGTCATTCACGCGGCTCGCGACGATCATGTGCGTCTTCAGCAATTCCTTTCACAGGAGGAGACATTTACTTTTGTTCTTACCTGACTTATTTCTCAGAAGGTCTAACTTGTGCCTAGCAATTCTTTACGAACTGATGACAGTGTATCGTGAGGTCAGAGTCAACCTACTTGACGCTATTTTTTATAAAGAAATAATAACAGGTCAAAAATAAAGCAATGATTCTCATATATAAAATTTATTTTTCTATTTGATAATTATATACATTAGCAGTACCTAATCATCTCCTAGTTTATTTATTATACTACAATTATTTGAAACAATTTAACAAGGCGCATTTCATTAATACTTCGTCAGACAGACACATTCAATATTGAATTATACAGATACATAAATCACAATATAAAAAGTCATCAGTTAAATAATTTCACTAGTGAAAATATCATCTGATTATTTGTCATTTTCGATCGGAAAATCGTGAAACAATATTGTTTCCTAGCAGAACGGTTACAATATAATCACTTTTATGTGAATCTAATTTTTTTCTATGACATATGAAACACAACACTGATAAACTGTGAAACACATTAATAGAGAAAGGAACATCTGTAGTGCTTTGGGAAAAAATAGAGGTATTGTTATTTAATTACTTAAATTTTTGTTTAATTTACCAATAGCCCCATGCTGGCAATAAAGTTAAATCACAATTACTGGAAAATAACACAAATTATTATAAAATATGGCATGCATAAATCAGGCATCTACATGGCATAGAAAAAAAGGTTTCACATCCCTTATCCTTTTTTGTAGAACCAAAATTTAATTCATACTGAAATTTTGTTAACTTCAGCAACTTCTTTTTGTCAGCCATCATGAACTATTTTACTGTGCATTCAATGGGGACATTCCCACATTTCTAGGATCTGCAGGTGCAGTGGTTTCCAGATTCGTCAATAACTGCGCCAGCCAGTGCTTTGTAGATTTGTCCTCCTGGAAAGAATAGTTAATAGCTGCTTTATATAGACTGATCGGAAGAATAATAGAAATATACTTAGAAAAATAAGACAAACGATTCTTATCAGCATAGGCCATAGAATGCCTTCTTACTAAGATACAGTGTGTTGTAAACTTCTACACCACTGATTGCATTAACTGACAACAAAACAAGAGTATTTTCAAATAACATTCGGGTATTTAGTGTGCTTACCTGTAAGCAGACATTGAATGTATTGTCTCTCAGTTGATCAGGCAGGCATTGACGCAGCGCTTCTCTAGCCCTAGCATTATCAGAGAGGCGTAAGTAACAACGGACCACATGTTTAAGAAGTCGAGCAGATGGTTCTTTCGCCAGTGAGATCACCATTTTTCCAAGAATCATTGCTACATGGCTGAATCTGAAAAAAAAAACAATATTCTAGGAGTGCAAGTCAAACTGGCAGAGCACAAAGCAGCTCTGAAAGTGATATGTTTTATGGTATATTATGCTAAGGTAATCTCACCTATCATATGTCTGGCAAATATATGACAATCCACTATCATCAAGGAGAATCTTTTGTAAGATGAATGTTGCCACAGTCTTGCTTAGCTCAGATCCAGATTCCATAATCCTCAAACATAGTGGGATAATCTCAGTTGTCAGAAGGAAAGTGATCACCTCCTGTTTGTAAGAATAAAAATGGTTAACAGATATTTTCAAAACAATGACATCCAAATAAGTCAAGTTCTAGGTAGTTACAAGTACTTAGATAATTTGGGATGATGAATTCAAATATTATAGTTAGAAAATTCTAAAGTGTAGTCAAGTTCGGATTCAGGATTTCGTCTAGGGGGGGCAAACAATATTTGGGGCTGGTAAAGTTTTCTACCTAAGTGGAACTACAATTTATCCTATTATTGCTCCTTAAATCCATTGTGTTTTATCTGTTCAATGCCAGCTGGAAAAAAAATATGGAAAGTGCTCAGTAATCCTCAGAAAGGCAATATTTTGTAATATGGGAACAAAAGAATTACGTGGCATTTATAACTAGTGTAATAATATTGAAGATTGAAACATAAATAACTTCATTGCTCTGTTAACAAAAAAAAAAAAAAACATTTTGAGGGACCCCAAGACATCAGACTGAAAAATTCACATTATCGTATGAACGCTAGACGAGACAAAGAGGGATGTCTATAAACCATCTATAGATCGTGTCTTGAGACCATCTCCAGACTGCCTATAGACAAATTTCGCAACGGGGTCTACTAGTGTGTACTAAGCTTAATACTCTGAACTACCCGTTAAAAAAATCAGATAATAGGTGTAAATACTGACACAATCAAGCACTTCTATTATACCAGCAGGTAATAAAAATATCAATAGGTATAGTCAATTATCTTTTGAAATTCAATATAGATGTTACAGTTATTCTTCAAACTTCCGTTTTTGAACTTAGATTTACGGCATAGTTTTTACTTTCTCAGTTTTCGAATCGGTGTTGATCGCATGTAAAAATGTTGGAAATCTTTGGAAAAAACTATATATGTTAGATCGTAATTATATTGATAGTGTATGTTCGTACGAAACAAGAACACGAATACATATCTGTACATATTCACGTGTAGTGCAGAAGCTCTGTGACTTAAACGAATTCAAATACGTGGGATCTTTTAAGTTTTAAGTCTTTAGTAAACTTAAATTCAAAGTTTCACAACAATACGTGCAGTGTTCTCACTACAGTGAATTTTTAAGTGTCACCAAGTCATTAGAAAAATGGAACTCAACCGAAAACATTTTCGCGCCATAATTTATTACAACTTTCAGAGACAATTATCGCAACAAGAATGCTTTGCTGAGTTACCGTCTGTTTTCGGCAACGAAGCGCCACATCAGTCGACAATTTCCCGTTGGTATGGAGAATTCAAACGTGGACGGGTGAGTCTTAGCGACGATTCCAGGGTGGGTGCACCAAAAACGGCAGTCACCCAGGAAAACGTCGATGCTGTGCGAAAACTCATCATTGAAGATAGACATGTGACATATCGCGAGATTAAGGCGTCCTTGAAAATCTCAAAGACCTCAATTCAAAAAAATTTACATGAAGAATTAGGAGTAAGAAAATTAGTTTCTCGTTGGATACCCCACCTGTTGACTGAAGAGCAGAAATCAGCCAGGGTTAATTGGTGTCAAAAAACGCTTGACCGTTTCAATTCCGGAAACTCAAAAAATGTGTACAGCATTGTTAGTGGTGATGAATCGTTGATTTACTGTTATGAACCAGAAAATCAACGACAGTCGGCTGTTTGGGTGTTCCAAGGTGAAGAAAAGCCAACAAAAGTCATCCGTTCTCGAAGTGTTTCGAAAAAGATGGTCGCGACATTTGTGTCAAAAGCCCAAAAAACAAGGCAGTATTTAATGGAAGAAAACGTGGAATTATTGGACCATACTCCATATAGTCCCGATCTAAGTCCTAACGATTTCTTTACTTTACCCGAAAATTAAAAACAGACTGCGTGGTCAAAGGTTCCAGTCAGCAGAAGAAACAGTTGACGCATTTAAAAATGCTATTTTGGATCTGCCAGCAAACGAGTGGAATAAGTGCTTCGAAAATTGGTTCGAGCGCATGCAGATATGTATTAATCTTCGTAGTGAATACTTCGAAAAACAATAAAGTCATTTAAAACTACCTACCGTGTTGTTTTATTTCCATATGCAAAACTTAAAAGACATCCCTCGTATAGCACCATAAATAGAAACATACGCGGGAAGAAATGCGGGACGTGTCTAACATTATAGTCTAATCATATTAGCAAATTTCCCCGAAATAATTGCAAAGTCCGGTTTTATTGCTGCAAGTTGTTCAAGGGGGTATTCAATTTTTGTGGGAAAACTTTTTATTTGACAACAACGAATGAGAAAACGTGTTTTGTTTTTTTTAGGATTCAATCGAAAGTGTTGACAGGAATGAAGAAACTTTTTATATAAGATATTTAGGTATTTATGAGACCTACAAAATGAATGAGACAACACGTGAAAAGATCCACCTAATAGCAAAAATGTTATGGCCGAAAAACCAGGCAAAATGAAGGTTTCGGCACTTGTTGGTAATGCGACGATAATTTTGCGCAACTACTTGAAATTATTCAAATCCGCAGGATTAATACTTCTAAATTACAACAGTAAAATTGGAGTATAATGGTCAAGTCGTTTTTTGAGAATCTCTAATTGTTTATCCCAAAACACCTGCTTTCCGGCCATCACTACTAGTTTATTGATATAAGCAATATAAGAACATTTAATAGCAAAATAATCGTGTTTACCTTGCCGATATGAATTGCAAACCATTCTGAAATACAAATGTTATTTTTATGTGAAAAATGAAAGTTACGTTTTTTATTCTAAGCAAATTCAAACATTTCGTATTTGTGAGAAATTGAGCAAATGCGCTACGATATTCGAAATACATACGTTATTATACATATTTTAAAACAAAGCGAATGTGTATATCATCTTTTGTTGTGAGTTACTCACAAATACGAAATGTTTGAATTTATTTAGAAGAAAAAACGTAACCCATCCTTTTTTGCATAAAATAACATTTATCTTCCGGAATGGTTTGCGATTCATATCGTCAAGGTAAACTAGTGTATTTTGCGATAAATTTCACTTTGAACTCACCCTGTATATTGGTCAATGAACTAATAGTGATGGCCAGAAAACAGATGTTTTGGGATAAACAATTAGAAATTCTCAAAAACTACTGTCGCCGCATTACCAAGACGTGCCAAAACCTGCAGTTTGCCTCGGTTTTCGGCCATAACTTTTTTGCTATTAGTCGCATCTTTTTACCTGTGGTCTCATAAATACTTAAAAATCTTATACGGAGAGTTTTTTCGTCCCTGCCAATTATTTAGATTGAATTCCAAAAAACACGTTTTCTCATTCTTTGTTATCAAATAAAAAGTTTTACCACAAAAATTAGTGTACCCATTTTATGCGCCCATGTTTTGAATAACCCCTTGAGCAACTTGCAGCAATAAAACCAGCCTTTAGAACTATTTCGCAAACCAGGGGAATTTTCATCTAATATGATTAGAATAATAGTGCTTCGCAGCAACACCAACCCGGAACAAAATCAGTAAAGTTTTACACAAATTACTATTGAGTAACAAACAGAACATAAATCACTTTTTAAGTGCAATCTGTATAGCTTATATATTGTTTAGACTTAGATTTGTCATAAGTCACAATACTTGTATATACATATAAATCGTAAGAATTGTGCTGTAAACATAAGTGATATCGAAGAGGGACAGTGTTTGGAATATCAAAAAATCACAGTACTCAGTTCCTATAGCTTATAGTTAGTATGCCTCTGTCACAATTATGTTAGATTACAAAAGCAAGTGTCAGACGTCTAGGCGCGCGCCCGCCCCCCGCCTCTAAATAGGCCACTGAGTGTAGTCATGCTGAATGCAAAGCAGTAAGCAGCCTCCAAAAAATTCTAGAATGAATTGGGGCCGAGTTAAAGTGTAAGAAATGCACCATCAATTAATGTTCTTTTTTCTGTTGAAAATCAGTCCACTTATTACCAGTTTATTCAGTAAGCTAGACTACATTCCTACCTGTTCGTCAGTCTTCACTAAAGCCCCGATTACACCAAGGCTGGTCAATCGCAGGTACTCAAAGGGCCTGGTCTTCGATGAGGTATGCAGGAAGGGATAAAGGAATAAAGGGACATGAGCCAATAGAAATTGTGATCGAGTTTCAGGGTGGGAGGCCACACATTGCAATAGAGCTAGGGCATTACAAACCCTGTTGGACTGGTGAGCAGTTAAGGTTGGAGGGTTGATAGCAGCATAGATGTTGACGATCTCTTGAAGCAGGGCGGCAATCGTACCAAAGCTGTGCCACAGCATGGGGGCGAGATCAGGGACTACCTCTCGTTTTTTACTAAAATCAACAATGATTATGTTATGCAATGTGGTGCTTGTATGATTAAAATATCAAATTACCTGAGTTCCAGCAAGGCATTTTCACGAGTTTCTGGATTTGTCAGCTCGAATATCCACATATAAACTTTTTCCCTTTCCAGAGTTTGGTTTCCAGGGCTTGGTTGGGCGCTCATTTGGACGTAGGCGGTTGACTTTGATCGATGTACTTATAGATATACAAATATGGAATCTGAAACTATTTTAGGAACTATGTCCTCACTTGTAACGTAATCACTGAAAATCTAGAAATGAAACGTATTCCAATGCAAATATCAACAAATTAAAAGAGGTCAAGTCGTCAACGAATTAGACGTCAATTTACGCAGATGTTCGTTAAATGACAGAGCCCAAGCCAAGCGACCAAGCACCAAGCCAAGCCCATAAGCATGAAACACATAAGACATAAGACTGAAGGAGTGGGAGTGCACGTTAATCGATGGCAACATCGTTGACGTTTGTCAGATGGTTGCGCCACCTACTTACCTGAAGATCTGCGGAGAATGCGCCTGGAACAAAGAACGCCAAGAATTTCCGGATAATTTCGTTTGCTTATAATTTGATATCTGCTGAAAGTGATATTTCCGATTGAAGGATTATTTCATGAACATTTATTCATAAATTATCCCCAACAAGGGTAATAATATCTCTTTCAGCAGTTTTGCTGAGAACAAGATTCAGAATGATAATAATAATCCTACACTAAATATGAATCACGAAATGTCTCAGAAATAACACGTCAGAGTAACACGGGAGGTAGATTGGCTTCAGATCAAACAGAAAAAATCAACATGACCTTAATAACAGTTTTCTAGTTTCCGAGATATTGCAACTTTTAAGTTTTTCAAAAAATCCCTACTTCTTGCTCATTTTCTGCCTGTTATGGCTATAAAGAACTTATAACTGAGCTACCATTAATAGTATTCATTTCACTGAAAACTAGCACAGTATGCTAAAAGTAATTCATATCCCTTTGTAAATAAGCTACTCACTTTTAATCAGCTTGCTCGGTTCTATGTCTTTAATTTGTTAGTCTAGGTGGGCAGAATTTTGCTTTACAGAGCATAGGGCTTTATGACTGTACTCTGCCGATATTACCATGTCTTATTTAATTAATTAAAAAAAACTTCCGTACTATATATAACCGTGCCAATTACAAGGATTATAAAGAGATATGCAATTTTAAATAATCTACCAACTACATCATGCCAATAGGGTAAGTTCACAGCCTACCTGTAGCACTTTATGATTGACTCTCCTGAACTTCTGCAACTCCCGCAATAGTTAAAATACATCTCACGTATACCACCACAGCTACTGATAGTGTTGCTTTATCTTTTATACTCATTTTTAACGAAATATCTCCGAAAGCATCAGCGTTGATTATCTGGATATTTACCAAAACAAACGCCATATTTGATATTTTTACATTTAGATAAAGAATAAAATCAAATTCAAGCGGATAACCAAATGAAAATGGTATTTACCATTTTGGGTTGGTATTTACCGATCCGTTCAAGCGAGTGTGGTTATCAGTTTGGTTATAAGATCCGTGTCGTCATGAATCAGCTGTTATGTGTCATAGTTATCACCGCAAAATTGTGGTATTTACCCAACTCAGGAGTAGTTTTATATTTCAGGTTATTATTTGAAATGTGGCCAGTTAGAATTTTGCCGGGTATTGGATATTGCTATTGTACTTCAGCTTCATTTTTGGAAAACTTGATACAGGCTGACTTCATTGTTAGCATAAAGTGGAACACCTTATTAGTTATACTCATTACTGTTGTTGGGAACACTTTCAATCTAGTTTCCTATGTTTAACAAAGTAATATGTGTACATATACGACAAGAATATTAAATTATAGCCATATAACTCAATGGATTATGTCCACCTGTATACGGTTTTGTTAATATCTTTTTTCACCGTTTTTTCATTATTTCTGCTAAATCAATACATGTTTTCTTTGACATGCGGAAAACTTTTGAGAATTGAAAGTTATCATAGCTACAAAACCATGGTTCAATCATTAAAAAAATTTTTCTGAAAAAATAAAACATTTCTCCCATTAATATTATGGAAGGTTTCGTATTTAAATTTTCCTTACACCGTTGTAGACAAAAAAGCACCGATTATTAAGTGATAATAAAAATAATCAGAGATTATATGCGCACTTTTCTAAAATAAACAACTTGCAACAAAACCGTGGTTAAAACCAACGCGTTCAAGCGATTTGTGTAACTGACGTCATCAACCCGTGTGTCATCTTGAACCATATTATAACCGCGGCAGATAACACAGAAATTTTGGTTATTCGCTTGGATTTGATTTAAGAAAGTAAATTCCGGCAAGTAGCACGTCACATGATGTCGGTAATGCAGTTTCCTCGATTTTGCCTCGAGAGGATGACCTTGGTGTTGCTAGTTCGCCCATAAGACGTTTCACTCCCTGTAACTGAAAGTCGTTTTTGATTTAAAATTATTGAGCAACCAACACACCAACAGAGCTAAAATGAATCACCTGATCGTTAAACCCCACCCACTTTCCTCTTGATACAAAAGATGCAGGTTATGTAAGGTTAGGGTTTATATTTATGTTGACATTTGGCAATAAATATTTTTAAAATACAAAAATAAATCAAAATTGCTCCTGGACGTCGTTGTATACGTTGTATATTGAAATTTAGCTGCCCCAGGAAACAATCATGCCGTTTACTGCAGATGCAATAGCAGCTCAGCAAGTGCAAGAGCGCTTAAAAGTTTTACAGCAACTTGTTCATGAAACTGAGAAAAAAAGACATCAGTGCGAGCACAGCATTACTACCTTGCAGAAGTATGCGAATGATGACAAATCTGGGGGCCACAGTTTACAGGTACTTTATTGTATATCTTACTGTATTTGTGATGAGAGATTAAAATGACTAAAATTCATATCATTCTTTCACGTTTTATTATTCCAGAAAATGAGGTCATTATACAAATCTGCAATAGCACAATCAGAGCAAGAGGAAGAGGTGATTCGTAGAGCTCTACAAAAAATTACTGAGATAAGAAACATAAAAAATGAGAGACGTTTACAGGTATTACATGATTGCTTATTGGTGTGATAAGAAGCATTTTATAACACCCTCTGTTTTTACAGACAAGATTTACATCAAATAAAGAATCTATTCGCAAAGGAATGTGGATGAAAATGCTATCCAGTTCTGCACAAACTTTACCTCTGTTTGTAAGCAAAATTGGGGAAAAGCCACCTCCACTGTGTGGCGCAATCCCAGCTGACTCTAACTATGTAGCTAAGGTAATAATACTTCAGATATCTATGATAAATTCAAATCTTCTACGTATCTAATATTGTTCGCTTAAGGTTTACTGAGCAAATCTACTTCACACAATTTTTAATTTACCTTGATAGGCTGATCTCATAGAAAGGTTTGTTTTCAGGTTGGGGATATGGTTGCAGCTCTGGTAAAAACCCAAGATGAAGAGAACTGGATTGTAGCAGAAGTTGTGAGCTACAATTCAAGCACAAGCAAGTATGAAGTTGATGATATATTGAAGGAACAAAACCAAAAAGTGAGATACACTTTGAGTAGAAGGAGAGTTATTCCTCTGCCTTTGATGAGAGCCAATCCTGAAACTGATCCCCAGGCATTGTTTCCTCAAGGGACACTAGGTAATGCTAAATTAAATGGACATGTTATATGGATGGTAGCATTTCTATAGCTCAAATAAAATTTTTCAGTTTGCTAGGTTCATGGATACAAAAGAAATAAGGTCCTACTCAGTGTCTGATATGTAATTTTAGTTTCTTCAAATTCTTGGGATAGGCATAGGTGTTAAAAAGTGTCTTTTTACAAATTGCCAACATTTCAGCATTTTTTTTATTTATTCAGTGCTAAAATGAATATGAAAAAATACATAATAAAATTTCAACATTGTAAATGAAGCATTGATTTGAAAAAGGAACAAAAACAATTAAAGTGTGACCAAATTAAAAATATTTGATTTTGGAGATTTCAACAATTTATACTGAATTGATTTTATGGGTTCTTTTGAGTGTGGATTAAAACACTAGATTCCACAAAAAAAGGCACTAATTTATTTAACTTGATATAACATTTATGTCCACCAATATTTATGTCGCCATTGACTGCACTATACTCCACTCTGCTCTGCTCTGATGTAATCTGTACTCTGCCTCCATCTCCCGGCCGCCGAGTTATATGTAGTCCCAATTACCGCCACAGAGCGACATCTAGAATGTTGGAGATCACTTCGCGTCGATCTAGAAGGCGATCCGCTGTCACGGTTCTCAAAGACGCCGCCAGGCGGCTTGTGCGGCAGTGGTTCGCGTAAAAGCATAGATCGGCAATTAAGCTCTGGCGAGTAGTGATAGAGTGATTGAATTCGTTATCAAAACGCCATGTTCTAGCAACACACTAACAATGCATTTTAACTGCCGCGCACTTAGCATCCATACAACATCAGAAAATGCGCCCTGATTTCTGCGTTAAAAACCAGACACTTTCAGTGTTGTCACTTTTCACTCTATATCTATTTCAGTAATGGCTTTGTTTCCTCAAACCACGTGTTTCTACAAGGCAGTAGTAAACAAACCACCTGCCACCTTCACTGACGAATACGAGTTGCTATTTGAGGACTCCACTTATCCCGAGGGATACAGTCCACCGCATTATGTCGTGCAACGATACGTCATCGCTTTCAAACAGAAAAACAAGCAGGCCAGTTGACAGTTGCTGTGTGAAGGAGACATATCTGAAAATGAAGAAGAAATGGTGACGTTTTTACAGAGCAGCTAGTTGTATAAATATAATTGAAAATGACATTTTTATTAAAAAGTTTTTTTATTTGGAGATGTTTTCAGAACGCATTATCCAAATATTGGAAAGAAAACCAATGTTGCAAATACTCACTCCAGGTCTATGACAGGCTGAAATTAATATACTGTATATACACTACAGAGCGGGAATGGTAATTTTATGCTAAGTAAAAACAGTATTTCAATCTTGAATATAGTCATTATTATTTTCAATGTTTGTAAGTTAGAAAATCGGTAAAAATCTGTTACATTTCATCCAAATAGTAATAACAATTTGATATCATTTCCAACTTATGCATAGCTTGCAAATTCCATATAAACTAACAGGCATATAAATAGCATCACAGCTTACACATAAACACTTGTATTTATAGTTATAGAGTAAATCACCTTAGGCTTTCTATTTGATTGATATGAGTATATTATTCAATAGCTTAGATATGTTTGTACAATGCATATTTGATCCCAGGCAATATAGTAATGAAGTTGGAAATGATGTGCTAAATGTATTGTAATGCTTATTTAGCAGCTGATTTTGAAACTGTGTTTGAAATAAAGAACATATCCAAATTAATATTTTTTGAATTGCCCCCTGTACCTTTTCATCATAATTGTGATAAATTCGGTTCTACGAGGGTGATCCCAGAAGTACCCGACCCAATGAAGAAAACAAAAATTTTGTAAAAAATGTATTTATTTTTCAACATAATCTCCTTTGAGCTCTATACACTTTTCCCATCGATGTTCAATAAGTTCGATACCCTTTTTATAATAAGAACTGCCTTGCTCCTCAAAATAGCCATTAACTGATGACATCACTTCTTCATCGTTGGAAAATCTTTGACCACTGAGCCATTTTGTCAAGTTTGGAAACAGAAAATAATCCGAGGGGGCTGAATCTGGTGAATAGGGTGCATGAGGTAGCAATTCAAACTTTAATTCGTTAATTTTGGCCATTGCAATAACGGATTTGTGAGCTGGTGCATTGTCTTCTTAACCAAATGCGGTCGTTTTTGATTGATTTCATCGCTCAATCGTCGCAATAAGTTCGCATAATACTCGCCGTTGATAGTTTTACCTTTTTCAAGATGGTCAATGAAAATTATCCCAAGCGCATCCCAAAAAACCGACGCCATAAACTTGCCTGCAGATGAAACGGTCTTCGTCTTCTTTGGAGCTGGTTGTCCCTTTTGAGTCCATTGTTTTGATTGTTCTTTTGTCGCGGATGTGAAGTGATGGACCCATGTTTCATCCATGGTTACGAAACGACGCAAAAATTCTGCTTTGTTGCTGTGAAACTTCGCTAAACACCCAATTGAAACACCTTCACGACAATGTTTTTGCTCGATTGTGAGCAATCGCGGCACCCATCTCGCACACAGCTTTCTCATGTCCAAATTTTCAGATAATATGCGATGAGCCGCACTTTTTAAAATGCATACTATGTCTGCTAACTCGCGTACTTTCAGTCGACGATCATTCAGTACCGCTTTGTGAATTTTCTTCGCCATTTCTGGAGTCGTCACCTCATTTGGTCGACCACTGCGATGCTCGTCTTGGCAGCTCATACGGCATCGTTTAAACTCTGTTACACAATATTTTACTTTTGTAAACGAAAGAGCAGACTCACCCAGAGTAGAATCCAGTTCAGCTTTTATATTGGTTGGGCTGAGGCCTTTGAAATAAAAGTATTGTACCATATAACGATGACCAATTTTCTCCATTTTCACAAATTCACTGAAAACGTTCAGTATTGATGGCTGCCAAACAAATACTAAACAACGTGGCGTCTTCAAACTTGACACATATGCTTTATAGGTTGCATACTTTCTAATACATTGATATTTTTCAAACAACTATCGCCATCTCTAGGTCAGGCCGGGTACTTCTGGGACCACTCTCGTACCTGAAAAATTGATATCGTTCTCAAACAAATAAAAACGTCCTGAATTCCAAAATCCAGACTTGTTGTGAATTGATTTCTACTTCACGTAGGAATTTTTTGATGATCAAATTTGATTTTAAACCCCCAATTTACCTAAGTGAAGTAAGTTTCATTCGCATTAGCAAAAATAAGAATTCCAATTATATATTTTTACAATGATAACGTTTTCAGAAGTGGCGTCAAGTAGGTTGACTCTGCCATTCTCACACAACGTCGTTTGTTCATAAGGGCGTTCGGTAGAATTTAGACCCTCGTAGGAATAAGTTAATTTCGAACATGTAATAACAGAAAAGTTAATCGGATGAAGTCAGTCAAACAGGCGCATACACTTAGTCCGTAAACTTTCACTGCCCTACCGTCCATCTGGCAGCGTCCCCGATACCTGGTCGCACCACTCAGCACAGCGGCAATGCCGGGACACTTACCAAAGATCGGCACGCGCGCCTGTAAACCCAGAGAGCAGAAGCAGGGACGCGTACCGAAAGCGTTTCTTTAAGGAAAAATCTATGGATGTGTGAAATATGTATAGTAGGTGCGCAGAATTACCGAGTTTTGGAGCATATAACCTTTCAAAAATCTCCCATGACGCAATATTTCAGGGTCCTCTGAAACGCCAAAAAACGTGAGTTATTTTTTCGTTTTTGACCTTTCTTTCCGCAGCCACTCGATCGATTTTCGAAAACTACAGAGCTTTTTCGTCCATGGCAAGTAGTAATCTTGTGTAAAAATTTCAACCAAGTCCGAGCAACTTCCCAAGTTATAGACAGGCCAAGGATTACCAGACAGACAGCCGAACGGATATGAGTGGCATGGTCTTTTGTAATGTCATATAAAATCCAAAAAAACAATATGTTATTTTCGAAATTTTTCATGATTAGGTAGAATACGTTCTCGCCAGAAGGCGCGAGAAGTAAAATGAGTAAAAATGAGTATCCGAAAAAATAATCAGTGAAAATGAAGACATGAGTCCGTGGACACCTTGTGGTGCTGTTGAATCCTAATACAAAGCGAGCGAAACATACAGTAACTGAAAGGCTTCCCTGAATCCAATATTTTAGAAGCAATTGCTCAATTATCCCTCATTTTGATCTTTATGTAGTTAGATGCAATTTGATTCCAACAGACATTGAGCAGCAGTTCCATAAAATTACTAAAATCGCTGCGGACAATATCATTCTAACTAGACGTTTAAAAGATTACCGTCAGGCGCTTACGGGCAGTATAGAAAAAAGTATGAAGATACTTTTACTGTCCTTTTTTCAATTTTTCGTTTTCGTCAGTTGTGCGCTTGTTGAAGAAGTTATTGTAGAGTACTGTGAATCAAGAAATGGTCAATACGGCACGGTATTCGGATGCTTTTCGAGTCGAAAAGGTAAGAAAGGAATATCGGTTAGTAAAGGAAGGAGTCCAATGCTTAGATTTTATCAAAAAAATTATGAATGTGTCCATCTCGCTGGGAAATGCCGGCTTCTTTCAGAAATGGTGACAGGGCGACTCAATTTTTGAAATATCGGAAATTGCTTCGATTTTATTTGAAAAATGTGAGTACTTCGCTGGAAGATGTTGGAGTGATTCAGAAATGGTGAAAGGGCGACGCAATAGCGATTTCAATAGAGTTCGTTATTACCAAAGGGCTGACACAGCTGGTGACGAGCCCTACATTTTCCCCGCGTTTCGTCACATGCCAGTAGCCCGCTGGATCTCTTTCTGACCACGCATCCTGTCCCTTACAGCACTGCTGTTCTGTCTCCCCTGTGTAACTCAGACCACAGTGTTGTGAAGGTTAGGTTTTTAGTAAGAGTGCCTAAGACAGGGTCCAACGGCTGGTCCAACAAATCGTGTGACACTGCTCGCCAGCAGAAGATCAAGGCACATAGAACCTACTTACAAAACCCTACTGTAGAAAAGAGACAAGCCGACGTCGAGCCCAGAAACAAATATAAAGACGCGGTTCATAATGCCAAAGACCAGAACGATATAAAAGTTAGGCACATGGTAATGTCGCAGGGCAGCGGAAGTCGGTATTTCTGGACACTTGCTAAGCAGATTGAAGGGAACTTCTCAAGGAGTAGCCTTCCACCACTTACGAGTCAGGAAGGGACGATTATAACCGACTCAAAGGCTCAAAGTGGAAGTGCTGCTAAGATCTTTGCTGCCAACGCCAACTCCCGAGCGTTGTCGATTCAAGGGGTTCCCTACACTATGCGGGAAGTGACATTAAGGTATAAGACCATAAGACGGGTGCTCTTGTAGCTCGACATCAACAAAGCTTCTGGTCCAAACTTAATTCCTACCGTTGTATTGAAGACGTGTGCAGCGGAGCTTGCTCTAGTTCTTTCGCGTCTCTTCCAGGTATCTTACGAATCCGACACCTTCCCAGAAATTTGCTCATGTACAACCCAACCCCAAAAAAGGGTCTAAGACGGACCCTTACAACGCCTTTAGCACCGGCGGGCCATCGGCGATCTAGCTCTCTTCTACTGCTACATCAACGGGCTTTGCTCCTCAGAGCTCTGCTCCATGATACCGCCGCGCGATGCGCCTACCAGACAGACCCGCTTAACTAACTCAAGTTTGTAATGATACAAGAAAATTTCACATTTCTCATAAATGCATCTGTAACTGTTGTATAAAAATCTCAAAAACTCGTTCATCAACACCCATACCTTGACCATATTATAAAAAATCCAAACGCCTTATGCCCGAAGATCTAGCAGACACTTAGTCAGAACCTCTCGGACATATCAAACGTCCTCTGTTTTTTTAGATAAGATATCTTTTTCTAAGTACCTGATGTCTAATTACTTACAATTTCTATTGATCGACGTGAACAATATACCTGAGAATCTTCACGATATGTTGGATACAAATTACAACCATCTGACAGTAATCTTGGACGGAGATTGTGAAAATATTACAGCGATCGTTAACGAGGTAGGCAATACGTCTAATAACACTGCCATTGCTAGGTGAAAGGTTCACTGTTAAGAAAAAAATGGAATAAAATACTAATTATGATGAAGTGTAAGTAGACATTGAGATACACTTTCATCTTAGTACAGGAGACTTTGAACTGAACTGAGAAAAGTTCTACAAAAGTTATTAAATTTTTGAAAAGTTCCTCATGATACGCCTTATAAAAGGTCTTGTATCTCATTCAACTATTACCCGGGTAAAACTATACTTTAGCTCATATCGCAAATACTTAATTTCTTACTTTGAAATGAAAGATTGGATGTAGCTTTTACGAAAATATCATATTTTCTTTAAGGAACCCTCTGCTTGCTATTTTATAGAACTTCGAAGTTGCATTTTTGGTGGTAATACTCTACTGTTTTATATGCTGCATTTTTTGCTTTTTGTGCAAAAGCATGCTCTAAATTATAAGAATATAACATATACTGTATATAGTACTAAGGAAAATAGATGTGAAACTGTAAAAAAATCGTTGTTTTTTGCTACAAACCAGACGTGTTATTACATATTAGCTTATTAGCTTGAATAACAGATCAAAATACATACGTAAATGATGATGTGTACTTGGTAAACTGTGTAGAGGTGTTGTTTTGTAATTTTTCAATGTCTTCTTGAAATTCCTTAACCATTTTTTTTTCGCGTATTTTCAATGATA